GCTGAGATTTACACGAGTGTGATTGTGAAGTTGCATGGTGTTCCTTTGTGCATTGTGTCAGATAGAGATCCAAGATTTACTTCTGATTTTTGGAAGAGTTTGCAAGAAGCGTTGGGTTCTAAGTTGAGATTGAGTTTAACGTATCATCCTCAGACAGATGGTCAGACTGAACGGACGATTCAATCGTTGGAAGATTTGCTTAGGGCATGTGTTCTTGAGCAGGAATGTTCGTGGGATACTTATCTTCTGTTGATAGAGTTAACTTATAATAACAGTTACCATTCTAGTATTGGGATGACACCTTTTGAAGCGTTCTATGGTCGAAGATGTAGAACTCTGTTATGTTGGCATGAATCTGGTGAAAGTGTAGTACTTGGACCTGAACTTGTCCGTGATACTACTGAGAAGGTGAAGTTGATTCGAGAAAAGATGAAAGCTTCCCAAAGTAGACAGAAGAGTTATCATGACAAGCGAAGGAAGGATTTAGAATTTCAAGCTGGTGAGCATGTGTTTTTGAGAGTTACACCTGTGACTGGTGTTGGGCGAGCATTGAAGTCTAAGAAGGTCACTTCTCGTTTTATTGGACCATATCAGATTTCAGAGAGAGTAGGGAATGTTGCTTATAGAGTGGCTTTACCGCCTAATCTTTCGAATTTGCATGATGTGTTTCATGTGTCGCAACTCCGGAAGTATATTTCAAATCTATCTCATGTGATTCATATGGACGATGTGCAAGTACGAGATAATCTTACGGTGGAGATGATGCCTGTACGGATCGCGGATCATGAAATAAAGACTATGAGGGGCAAAGAGATTGTTTTGGTTAAAGTGGTTTGGCTAGGAGCTGCCGGAGAAAGCATGACTTGGAAGTTGGAGAGCAAGATGCGAGACTCCTAACCTGAGTTGTTTGATTGAGGTAAATTTTCGAGGACGAAAATATTCTAAGTGGGGGAGAGTTGTAACGCCAGTAATTTAATTAATTATTTAATTAAATTACTTTGGAATATTTGAGAAGATGTGTTGTGATTAATTGAATTTAATCATTTTATTAAGCGGAGAAATAATATTAGAAGTATGATATTATTTGATGTGGGCTTGTTTTTAAGGAATAGAAGTAATAAGGGGGTGTATTAGTTTTAAGCCCAATAAGAAGTTAAGAGAATAATAGTTTATTTTATTGTTGTTAGAAAGAATAGAAAAGAGGAGGCAATAGAAGAATAAGGATTGAGAAGAAGAACGTGAAGCTGCTGGAAAAAGAGGAAAAACGGCAGAACGAGGTTTCGACCGGAAGATTATATAGTGACCTTCAATCCAAGGTAAGGGTGGGGTTCTGATTCTATGATTGGGTTCATGATGATTGGTATATGGGGTTAGAAGTGATTGTTGTCTTGTTCTTGAATGGAATGTTTATGATGTTGTATGATGTGAAATTAATGAATTTTAGATGAATAATGATGTCCCGATGTTGTTTGATCGATGTAGAATTATAGGATAACTGTAAGTGATGACTATCTATGATTAGATTAAGTTTTTAGGGCTTAAAATATGAAACCCGTAGTGAAAACGCAGAGAAAATCATATAATTTATGCAGGATGCAACATGATACGTCAACCTCAAATTCTATGTGTCGATACAAGAAGGTTGAGAGACTCAGGATGAGTCGACACGAAGAGAGGATGCATCGATACATGAGTGCTTTTAGACTCAAGATGAGTCGATCCATAGGAGCATGTGTCGATACATGCTGTGTGTTAGACCCAGGATGAGTCGATCCAAGAGAGGATGTGTCGACTCATGTTGCGAGTCCAGTGCAGTACGCATCGATCCAAGAGGTTTTGCGTCGACCCATGTTGTCTGGTTTTTGACAGATTCAGTTTATAAATGTTGTAACTTGAGTTTTAGGATGCCGTTTGAGATGTCGTTCGAAGCGTTGAATAGTTAACGCGTTGAACTTTATTCTAGAGGATTAAGATGAAGAATAGGAAGTGTAATCGTAGTAGCCAATTTAGGATTTAGAGTTAGTTCTCGTGTTAATCGTTATGTTGGTTTTTATGCAGAATGATGAGGATGAAATGTTTACAGGATGTTGTTTGATTTGTAACAGCATAAGTAATGATAGTAATGATGTAAGATTACAGAATAGCGGTGTGAATTATTGTCGTATTAATGCACTGCTGAGTTGTTGATGAGATTTTATTAATGAGGTTGTGATGATAATATATGATGAATAAATGATGTTTGATGAATAAATGATGTTTGATGAATTATTATGAATGATATGAGATGTTTGATGAAGATATGTTGAGATGCTTATGAGATGTAGGCCTTTGGACAATGATGATGTTGTATTGAGATGTTGTTAATTGTGACGTTGTTATTACATTCATGATTGTGTCGCATACATTTCATTTTGAGATGGAGCTTATGCTCGTTGAGATGGCATGTATTGGCGAATATTGAGATAAAGGCTTACGCCTTGTTGATGCCTCTATTAATTGGAAAATTTTTGAGATGGGAGTTCTGCTCCAAATGGTACCACATGCATTTGCATAGTATTGAGTCGCATTATATGATTGTATTAAGAAGTGTGTATTGATGTTGTGATTGTGTATTATTTCTGTGATTATTGTTGAGTATGAGATGAGAAGTGGTGATGTTATGTGATCTAATTTAATATATTAATTATAATGCACTTTATTATATTGTTAGATATCTCACCCTTCTGTTTGAATGTTTCCCTTATGTTAGTAACGTGCAGGTAATCGAGAGTGAAGGTTGTATACCTTCAATAGTTTGAGTCAGTGTCATTGCTCTGATATGTAACACTCGGGGGGATGAACGCTTGTTTCTTTTGATTGTTGATTATTCAGTTGTTGAACTTTAAGTTGATTATTATTAAGTATTTGTTGGTTTGAAGTTGCTGTAATGATGATAGAGATGTTATTAAGAATTTCCGATGTGTAGATGTTGAATTAATTAACTAAAGATGTTATGGTGATGGTTCATCCGATCTTTTAAAATGTGTTATATATCCACGATGAATGCAATAAATTTTGATAGAAGAATTTGTGGCATCCCGATTCGTTTGCATGATATGATTTTTTTATAACTCTGATTTATTTATATAATTGTCGGGGTAGAAATGGGGTGTTACACAAAAGGCTCTGCTTCTATGAGTTTAGTGTATGGACAATGATCCTCGTGCTTGTTAGGGAATGATATGGGTGACCACTTTGCCCTCGGTAGATTATTGTATGCTTAGGGTGATGGGAGTTATGAGAGCCTATCCATGCATGAATCGTAGGATTCTCTGTGTATTTGTGTGTGTGTGTGTGTGTGTGAGAGAGAGAGAGAGAGAGGGAGAGAGTGATAATGTGTGTATGTGTACGTGTTTGCGCATGTGTGTATTTTTGTGTTTGTGTTTGTTCGTACGCGTGAGTGTGTGTGTGTGTGTGTGTGTGTGTGTGTGTGTGTGTGTGTGTGTGTGTGTGTGTGTGTGTGTGTGTGTGTGTGTGTGTGTGTGTGTGTGTGTGCGTGTGAGTGTGAGTGTTGAAAATTTGTGATCCCTTCTCCAATATAGAATTTAAGCATTTATAAAAGGTCTTTTAGGAATGGGCTAGAAAGCGAATAGATGATTTTTCCACTCCTCCTAGAAAACGAGGAGCAGCAAAGACAAACTCATCTTGTATCGTGGGATGAACTATTTTTTTCCTCTACCCACATTCCTCGACTGTTTCTCCTAAGACATCATAGAAACAATATGTTTCACATAAGACGGGTTGTTGGTTTTTTGCTTAAGCCCAACTGGTTCTTTGAGCGGCCACCTTGTTTTGTATGCTTTGTGAGGTTTGTTAATTATACTCATGACCCCTTGGGAGACCAAGCTTCATTTGGTCACTCACACCTGAGTTCTATGATAGATCATTTCCTTTTAGGCTCGATAAACTATCATCAGTCCAACAATTATCTACAAAATTATTCGTTGTACAACAAATAGAGCAAATTTTTTTAGAATTAAAATTTCTTTCTTGCAAAGAAGGTTTAGCAAGACCTCGCGCATTTGCATAAATTTATTTGCACCCTTTTGTGTTATAATATTCGTTTAGAATTTTAGGGTTTTCCCCCAATATTGTGCCCCTAATTTGACGGTCTTGTTGAAGAACGGGCAAAAATACTTCTATGATTTGAGGTAATGGTTTCTCAATAAGACTTGATGTGTGCTCAATTTTCACGGTTGAGCTTTGAGCTATTATCTAAAGTTTAATGAAGTTGAATTGTCGTGGTTAAAAATGGGTTGCTACTGGGACAAAACGGTATCGAAAGGTGTTGATACTATTATTCACCATTTTAATGCTGTGGAAAAACTCAGAAAAATCGTTACAATCACAATAAAACTCCATTATAAATGCAAAACATCGTAACAATGGTGAAATATTGGTACAGTCGAAAAGATTTCAGAAACAAAATATAAAAGAATAAATCACATGAAAATATTCTTTATTAATGTTGTGATTAATTCAAATTGCAACAACTCCAATTATTAACGTAACACTCTTGTACCACCCAAAATTACAAAAGTTTTTACATGATCACGACTATTATTTTAAAGTTTGATCGAGACTACAATCATGTTGCTATCTATTCATATTAAGATGTGACAAACACTCTTATTTTAGTCAAATCTCAGATATACTTAATAAATTTTCTAATTATGGACTGCCACCTGATTTTTTGTGAAGTTAACCAAATGGATAATGTATTAGCTAGGCTTAAATGTACTTAATAATTGTGTTGTTTTCTTTAAGTTTTTAGTTTTTAGTGTAGTTTTTTTTGGCCTAGACCCTCATTTGAATTTAAAAAAAACAAATACGAACATAAAAGGTTCAAATTGCTCCCTTTATAATTTTTATTTATTGTTACATATGTTAAGCTTGTATGACATCATACATCCATATGAATATATCAACAAGCATTAATTATATTATAACATATAATTCTCTTATGGTGTTTCTAAAGTAATAGTCAATCGAATAACCGATTGATTATTTGAGGCATCATAAGATATAGTTTCAAACACAATGAATCCTCTTGCAAATCGAAATCTTCCTATTCCGCCCACAATACTGAGTTCTCTTAAATTCTCACGTTGACGACTGGTACCTTGAATTTCTAAAGTGCTTCCACTGTATTGAGCATTGTTGAACACAATTGATAAAATTATATTCACATTTGCACCATCTTGAGAAGTTACTATAATTATACCTTGCGCGCTTCCAATTTGAGTTGAAGTTGGACTAGAAGCTAATGTAATCGGATCATCAACTGCAAATATTGTTCCATGTATTGTAGGACCAGACTTTATCTTTGATACCGATAATTGGCAAAACAGTTGCATTAGGTCCTTTTCCGACATCTTGCATATAGAACACTAAAATTGATTGATTTGGTTGACTGTAGGCGATTTTGATGTTTATCAAAAGTAATATTGATAAGAATATGATTTTGATTGGGTTTGGAAATGTTGGTGTCATTCTTTGTTGTTAAATAATGTTGATGATAAATGTTTATAATTATGAACTTGATTTGTAAAACAAGATGGCATTTTATAGAAGTGGTCAGATGAGGAAATTATACTTAAAAAAGACTTCATCATTTTCTAATGTCAAAAAATATGTTTATTCTTTAAATGGAAAAATAAAATGAATTTAATTATTATGAGTTATTTAAATGTGAAGAAATTTAAAAACAATACAAAATATTATTCTAGAACAATATTAATAAAAGTGTTGTACATATGAAAAATTACTAAGGAAACAAAGATAACAAAAAAGTTATCAAAAAAATTTGTGTAAAATATGATATTCTCAATTTTTATTGAATAATGCATCTTATTTAAGTTAGATAATCTTAGTATGATAGTTTCATTTGTCATATTTAGTTGTTTTTTTAAAAATAAATTTTTTATATTTTTGACTATCGGATATTATCTGTCCTGAAACCCTTACGTTTTATAGTAGTGTTATTTTTTCTTAAAAGAATTATTTAATGCTGACGTGGAATATTTAAATAATAAATATACAAATAGGTTAAAATTTTAATCTTCACTCAACAAATTTTAATCTCATTTCACGTGAAAGGCAACATTATATTATAGTTTATATTATTTATATATATGAAATGTGTTTCATTTAGTGATCGAAGACATTAGTAACACGTGATATACACTCACATGAAATGTGTTTTTCATTTATCATCTAAACAAGATTATCATTAATTGTATGGAAAGCATGTGTTCTAGCCCATTTTGAGTCTTTCACAAGTTTTTATATAAAAAATAATAAATAAAGTATTGGTTTAAAAAAATTAGGTGTTTTTTTTAAACAGCATAATAACATTTTTTAAAAAGTATCTAGAAAATTGATAAAAATGTAATTTACATAATATAACAAATATCAAAATAGGGTGGTCTGAAGGATGACCACCCAACACAATTATTTGGTTATTTAACATAATAATTATTTTATTTAATAAAAATAAAATTTAAATCAAAATTTAATAATTTTATTAAAATATTATATATTTTTTAATGAAAAAAAGCTTAGTATTTATTGAAGATGAAGAGTAAAGTTCATCTTGAATCTTTTATTCAGTTGTAAGTGTAATAGTTGTAATAAAAGATGTAATTGTATTACCCATCATATTGACCAATGTAACTGTACATTTAATTTATATACAAACTATTACAATTAAAACAAAGGTATGGACTTAACTAAAGTAAATAATGGACCTAATTTCTGTTTGTTAACACAATTAATTATACTCTTAAAAATTGTATTCTAACACCTCTCTAAAATTTAAGAGTATAGTGATCAACATCAATAACTTTCAGTTTGCTCTGCAAATCTTGAAATGCAGTCATGTCCAATGACTTAGTAGAGTGTCAGCAATTTGCATAGCAGCTGGGACATGTTGAATCTGGATGTTTCCAACAACAATCCGTTCATGAATGAAAGTATGTCAAGTTCTATGCACTTTGTGCGAGCATGAAGCACATGATTATGTGAAACCATAACAACACTGAAATTGTCACAAAGTAGCATAGGAGTATGAAACAATATTTTGAGCTCAGAGAGGAGTGATTCCAACCACGACATTTCAGAAGTTGAATGAGCTAAAGCCTTATTTTCTACTTCTGTGCTAGAACGAGCAATAAGTGACTGCTTTTTGGAACTCCAAGCCACTAAGTTAGAACCAAAATAGATGCAGGAACCACAAGTAAAAAGTCTATCATCTGGGCCACTAGCCCAGCTAAAGTCACTATACGCACACAGTGATAATTTAGAGGCAGAAGCTGAAGGAGACAACATTAAACCATACATTGATGTGTCATTGAGATATCGCAAAAGTCTTCTAACCACAACCTAATGAATATCAAGAGGTCAAGGCATAAATTGACAGATCTTGTTCACACTATATACAATATCTAGTCTTGTCAAGGTTATATGTTGAAGAGCTCCCATAATGCCATGAAAATATTTGGATTTACCAAGCTTCTTTAGTAAAAATGTGATATGAAGCTTGTTGATCAAATCATGAATTAGAGAGGAGCTAGAGCCTGTTATAAGTATATCATCTACATATACCCGGACATACAGAGTTATACCTTGTTTTGTAATATACAAATAGAGAGTTGTCACACTTGGAAGGAGTAAACCCAAAATGAAGCAAAGCTTGAGTAAACTAATGTAACCAATGGACATAATCTCTGTTGATTAACACAGTTAACTATACTCTTAAAAGATGTATTCCAATAATATTAAAAAAATCAGAAAACGTTTTATATAGACACAAAATTTAGTCACAAGCTTTGAGCGCATACGTAAATGAAAAATGAAAGAGAAAAAATGTAAATAATATATAATTCAAAATATTAAAATTATATATAATTAAATATCTGTGTGTCTAACTCAAGGTCGGTTCTAATATTTTAATGGTCCTATTCTCATTTTAAAAACAAGACCTCTATTAAATAATAGAAATAAAAAAAAAATACAATTCTTAATAAAATATTTAAATATTTATCAAATTTAACTTTTGTTCAATAATTACTTTCATGAGTACGCTTCTTTGAAATGACGTTTTTTGTAAATAAAACAAGGACCCTTTCATTACAAACAAAGCTCTAAATTAAAAAGTTATGTTTAAATTTAGACCATTTTATTTTTATCCAACAGCTGAAAAAATACTGAATGTGTGAATGCGGCGAACTCTATTTTCGCATCTAACTTATTTTTTAGTGAAGTTGTACCCAACCGAATATTTCTCCGATATACATCCTCTAGACCCCTATCAAGAATTCAATGGATTTTTAAAGTGTAGTGAAATACATGATCTAAATTTATATGAAATGTCATAGAATATTTTGATTTTTTTTATATAAATTGGGTATCTTCTGTGCAACTGTACAAACTAATCTCTCAAGTCTGAAAGAATCACAATAGATGGCAAAACTCTTCCTCAAGAATTTAATATTGTTGCATGTTTATGGTTGAGTTTAAACCCATAACCACTAGTTAAGCTGATGGCATCGTATATAATGTTGCCTATGACAAGTTACTATTAGTGATTTTTAATAGATAAACTCAATGAGGAAAAGACACTCTAATGTAATATATAGGGTATACAATTAAACTTTTTCGCTTAAACGATAGGCTCTCTAAAAAAGTTTAAACACATACAAGCGAAATTGAAAGTGATTAAGTGTTAAATTGGAAATTAAATGTCTATAAATCTTAACTCAAATGACAAAAGTTGATATTGTTAGGTTGGATGACATCATCAGGGTTTAACCCTGATACTCACAATTATGGGTATGTGTTCTAATTGTTATTACCGCTTCATATACAGACCAAAAAATTTAAAATTTAATGTTCTATTAAGAAAGTTCAAATGATAATCGTGTAGAGATATTCAGTTGTAGGGATACATGTTCTAACTCACGACATGATATGAAATCCTCCTCCAAATACATGTTGTACCAAGTGTTTTAGATGTCCGAGTTGAGTTACAGAATTATCCATGTTTGTGGTCTCTCTCTAAAAGTATGTTCTCTCTGAATAATGAGACCTTCATTGGTTCTCTCTGAATACTTGACCTCGTTTACCCATCTCCGATATACATGAGTGCATGAACATGGCAACAACATTACAAATAAAAAATTAATAACAATTATTATTCAATCTCATATTCAACAACAACAATACTCATATCTCGTACTCAAAACAAGATTCTCTCTGAATCACAAATTTGTCAATGCAAGGCCAACATTGTAGTTCTCTCTGAATAATTCAACTCATAATAAAAAAGGTTTTTCCCAGAAACCACAACTTAACAATATAATTAAGACTCACTAGTTATATTAACAATCAATAACAAAGCAAAATTATATTATTTCTCAACAACTTAATTTACAAAACACTCATATTACTCTTCAACTCATAAAAATACTCAAAACATATCAACATATTAATATTTATTTATTTTATACCGGTAACTCATCATAATAGTGACAATCTTTGTCTTTAACTAAAAATATTTCTCAAGGAAAACTCTAAACAACTCTTTAACAATCTCTACAATTCCAAAACAACTCTAAATACTCTAAAGTTCTAAAGTTCCCAAAAGTGCTCAATTGACAACTCTTATATAATTGATATAAAATCTCAAATAACTCTATTGGTTGGAGGTCTCGCTCAAATAATAATTTGACTCAAAAAACTCCGATGCAACAAATCTGTCTCTTAGACTTATCAACAGGGTAACGAAAAAGCCACTAAACTAAAAAATATCTCAAAACTCGCCGAACAGGACATTGAATCTGAAAACTTGAAGCACAACCTGCCGACCCATGAACCGCCACCAAAATTGTAGTACGTATAGTCTGCGTGTAGTGTGTACAATCTGTACGGTCTGCACGTAGTTCGTACAGTCCATACCCCATTTTTCTAATTTTTTGAATTTTGGACTTTTCCTATTATTTTTTATTTTTAGATTATCTTGTTATTTGATTCTCTTGAGAAAAATAGTCCATTAGGGATTTTAGTTGTCTTAGTCTAAATCGGTCATCGATCGCTTGAAACTCAACAAATACACAACACAGATAAATCATCATTCAAATATCAACAAAAATCCCCAAGGGACACACCCACATATCAATATCAACAATATCAATATGGATTCAAATATAGAAATTATATATATTATCATGGAAATACAAACATACACCAATCGATCGCTTCAAAGGGTTTTGCCTAAATCCTTTTTGGCCATAATCATACATCAACTAAAACACAAAAAATAGTAGGGACGAATGATGACAGGAGGGCTAACACCCCTCTCCATCCTATTGCCTAAACACCAAACATGTTAAGAATTCCCCCTACCTTAAAAGTATTGATCGTTGAGTTTTCTTGCTGTTGGAATTCTACCTCACTCGCCTTCCTATGATCATTATCCTTAGATTTTTCCGTCG